ATTTATGTTATGGATCTCGTTCTCGAGGAATTCGGTTTTGCTGATTTGCAGTATGGTCGCAGTTGACTTGGATATTTAATATAATAAATAGACAAATTCTATCTTATACATTATATTAACCAAAAATACTACTTGTTACACTACTTTATCAGTAAAAACACTAAACACAATACAAGTGGAAGTAGAATGTGATGCTCTTGAATCCAACCTAAGATGCACTGACTGACGGACTGATGTCGAAAGACCAAGACGTGGTGCTGAAGCCCACTATTTATATGAAGACCAAAACAATAGCTAGTCATTATTCATTCACTAGCACTTGAGATTAGATAAGAAAAGCGAAGCTTCCAGACATGCTGACTTTGCGTCTACTGTGTGAATGGAGTCACTATTCTCATTCACTTATCAAAAATATATCACATTTCGTTGGGATCACAACATTACTTTTTTTTTTTTTTTTTTTTCCAGGAAGTGTTATATTGGCCATTGCCGTAGAGCATTGCAATTTACATAAAAGAATTGCTCTTGGAACAATGTTAAAAGTTGGAACTAGTCCCAATAGGTTATAGAAATAATTATCATTATTAAATTTTTATTTAAATAAACAAAAAATTAAAATCATTTTGTTGTTATTCTTTTCTTTAATAAAAAAAAAGCAATTTTTGTTGGAATTATATAGCCAATAATTTAACAACAACAACAACTTTCTCTTTTAAGGCTTATGTTGGGTTTCATGGTGACAACAATGTTTCTATCAATGTGGATATGCAATTCAGCAGCTACAGCCATGATGACTCCTATTGTAGCAGCTGTTTTAAATGAACTCAAACAGGCATGTTATTTTTACTTCTCTTCATTATTAAAAATTTAAAATTAATTTGAGTTTTATTAATGATTTATTTAAAATGTTAGCAAAAAGAAAATGGCGGAAGGAGGAAAATAACTCTGCCTGAAACGGGTGAAGTTGTTACGTCAATGCAAGACAGTGGAACTTTTGATAGCGAAACAAGACGTGAATCTGCTGCAAATGTCGATTTAAGGTTTGCTACCTTAATATCCACATATAATTAAATTAAGTGAATGATTAGTTTTATATATCACAACGATTTTCAGGAGAGGACATAAATTAACCAAGAATGAAATAGCATATTTTTTGGGTATTGCATACGCTGCAAATATTGGTGGTACAGGAACTTTTACCGGAACTGCTACAAATTTAACATTTAAAGGTATTTTCGAAAGGTGGGTGCGTGCGGGTTTTTTTTTTTCCATTTTCTAAATCTTATTCTAGAGTGAAAGTTTTTTCATAACTTGTCATTCATATAATTTCAGCATTTTTCCCGATGCCGAAGCTATAAATTTTGCCACTTGGATGATATTCAATGTTCCTCTCATGCTTTTCAATACTTTTTTAGCCTGGCTTTGGCTTCAAATTTTCTACATGGGTCTCTTTAGGTATTTTATTTTAACATGATTTTTTTTTATTTTTTAACATTTTTGGCAGTGAACAAAAATTTTTTTTGTTGTTGTAGAAAAAAAAAAGGAGATGGAAAAACGACGGAGGAACAACAAAAGCAAGTTCGAGAACTTATTAGGCGTAGATACCGAGAAATGGGACCAATAACATACCATGAAATCAATGTTCTCTGCCTTTTTCTTTTAGATGTTTTCCTGTGGTTTTTCAGAAAGCCTGAATTTATAAGCGGATGGGGAAATTTGTTTCCCGAAAAGTACGCTATAATTAATAATAATAATAATTTCGGTATTAACTAAATCAATAATAAATTTTTTTTTTCTTCCACAGGGTGATTAAAGATGCAACACCAGCAATGGCGATTGTTATTTTATTATTTATCTTACCGGCTAATTTAGATTTTTTAAAAACAAGTAAAGCTTTTTTTTTTTTCTTTTGGAAATTTTAAATAAATTCATTATTTTAAATAGATGTTTAATATTTTATACTTATTTTGTTCAAGGTGAAAAAAATAGAAAAGAAAGTCCTGGTCTTTTAAGCTGGAGAGTTTTACATCAGAAAATTCCATTTGGAATTATATTACTTTTAGGTTTGTTAAATTGAACCTTTTTTTTTTTTTTTTTGTTATTCTTTGTAAAATAATGTATGATTAAATTCAACTAATTTTTTAGGAGGAGGTTTTGCTATGTCCAAGGCCAGCGAAGTGTCTGGGCTTTCTAATTATTTAGGAAATCAATTACAGGTCATTAATAGATTTTCGCCGCCATTTGTTTTAGCCATAATAGTTTTAGGTACAACATTTGCAACGGAAGTTTCCTCTAATACCGCAGTTGCAAACATTTTACTTCCAATGTTGGCAAAAATGGTAATTTTAAATGTTTTTTTTTTTTAATTATTACTCACCCGTTCGTTTAATTTAACGGTAAAGTTTTTTTAATAACTACTTTTTTTTTGATTTTTTTAATAATTTAGTGTCGTGCCATTCGTTTGCATCCTTTATATTTAATGCTACCAACGACGATAAGTTGTTCGTATGCTTTTATGCTGCCGGTTGCAACACCGCCAAATGCGATTGTCGTGGCAGCATCTAATATGAAACCGTCAGATATGGTGAGGAAATAAACGACTCATTATTTATTTTTATTTTAGAAATCGAAGTTGAAAATTTTAAAAAATTTCATTTTTATGTTTTAAATTTAGGTAAAAGCCGGTTTAGGTATGAATTTAATTTGTGCCTTTTCACTCATAATTACATTTATTTTCATTGCCGTTCCAATATATGGTTTATCTACTTTTCCCGAGTGGGCCGAAATCAAAAATACAACAATTACTACTTGATGTGATTATGTAAAAAAATAATACTTAAAAAATGATCCAAAGTGATTATTATTATTATTATTATTAATCATGGTTTAAATTTTTGGTTAACTGCCAAAAAAAACGTTTAGGAGAGAAAAGTTTAAAATAAATTAAACATTGTAATATTTTTTTAAAAAATAAAATGTATAAAATTAATTTTTATTTTAAATAAAACTTTATTATGAATATTTGCGTAAAATATGCCTGAAGTAGTACAATGTAATATACGTCATACGGTATCATTTTTATTATTTGACATTCATGTAAAGATAGTGTCATGAACTTTATAAATTTTATGAAAAATAAATATTAAATCTGTATTTAAATTATCAATAAAAATATTTTTTATGGATATTTCGTGTGAATCTTAGTATAAGGCAATTATCCTTAAGTAAATTTAAACAAAAAAAATTTTTCTTTAAATACGGATAATATAATTTTTATGATCCGCAGTTTTGTTTAACTATTCAACGAAGCACGTAATTCTATTTGCACGTTTAGATAATGACACGTGCTTAGTTCGCAAGTACTTTTTAAATATATTTTATTTAAAATGTGTTAATATCGATGATTTAGTGTTGAATTTTACAATCATTCTAATTCTTAAATACAAAAGTAATAATTTAAAAAATATTTTAATAGATATACTTATCATATCTTGTACAAATTCTGTTAATTTTAATATTTTAAAATATTGACCATAGTTTTAGAAATTGGTATAACCTAAAGTTATTGCATAGAACAAAAATTAAAATGGGAAAAGTTAGATCAAGACCTGGACCTCCCAAAAAGGAGGGAATAAATAAATCTAATCATAGCATGAATCCTAATCGGTCAACTGAAAATTTAAAAGGAGTTGCCAAAGCTAGAAGTAAATCTACTATCAATAGGTTGCACATGTACAAAAATTTCAAGCCCAAAAGAAATAAAGTTTGTATTTATTAGTATTTTTTGAGAAACTTTATTTGAATTTAAAATAAAATTACTTTAAATAATAGTCAGGAAAAATTATATCAGCTGCTCCATTTCAAGGATGGTTAAAATCTGGAACAACTGCTAGAGTAGAACCGAATCAAAAATGGTTTGGAAATTCCAGAGTAATATCACAAAATGCCTTACAAAAGTTTCAAGAGGAGCTCGGTGCAGTTATGAAAAATCCTTATTCTGTCATTATGAAACCAACAAAGTTGCCCATTACTTTACTAAATGAAACTGCAAAACATCAAAGAGTTCATCTTTTAGATACCGAATCTTTTGAGGTAAATTTTATTTGTAAAATGTAAAAAATTTTATTTTATTTTGTCATTAATATTTTTTTACATTTAATTTAGAGTGTGTTTGGGCCAAAAAAATCCAGAAAAAGGCCTAATTTAAAAGCTAAGGATTATGAATCGTTAACTAATGCAGCTCAAATGTCTTTTGAAAAATACGAAGCTGGTAAAGATGAAAAAGATTTCGATTTAGTCAAAGAAAGTGATGGCACCAAAGATGCTCCAAGGGAATGGATTATGTCAGCTGGTCAAAGTAAAAGAATATGGAATGAATTATACAAAGTAATTGACTCAAGCGATGTTGTCATTCAGGTATGAAGAAAGAAAATGTCTTTTTAAAGATAAATCAAAGCTTTATGGTAAATTCTTATTTAAAATGTAAAAGCGATCAAATTTTACTAATTTTTTTAAATTGTAAGGTTTTAGATGCTCGAGATCCTTTAGGAACCAGATGTCCAAGAATTGAAAAATTTTTAAAGGAAGAGAAAAAACATAAACACTTGATATTTATTTTAAATAAGGTAGACTTGGTTCCGACTTGGGTTACCCAGAGGTGGGTTGCTCACCTTAGTGCCGAATATCCCACTGTGGCTTTTCATGCTAGTCTTACACATGCTTTCGGAAAGGGATCATTAATTAATTTACTGAGACAATTTGCAAAACTTCACATTGACAAAAAGCAAATTTCTGTCGGTTTCGTGGGATACCCAAACGTTGGTAAAAGCTCAATAATAAACACATTAAAATCTAAAAAAGTTTGCAAGGTAAGAACACTTTAATTTGTTCCTCATATTTATTTTTAATAATTTGTATTTTATTTAAATCTTTATTCTATATCAAAATTTCAGGTAGCACCAATCGCAGGAGAAACTAAAGTATGGCAGTACATAACCTTAATGCAGCGAATTTATCTGATAGATTGTCCTGGAGTTGTTTATCCATCTGGAGAAACTGATACTGAAAAAGTATTAAAGGGTGTGGTTCGAGTTGAACTTGTTAAAAATCCAGAGGATTACATAGATGAAGTTTTAAAAAGAGTTAAACCGGAATATTTAAAAAAAATATATAAAATCGATGATTGGAACAGTTCAAATGAATTTTTAGAAGCAATCGCTTTGAAAATGGGTAGGTTATTAAAAGGTGGAGAACCTGATATTTCCACAATATCCCGTTTAGTTTTAAATGATTGGCAACGTGGTAAATTACCTTATTATATCGTACCTGCTGGTTGCGAAGTGCCATTGTCGAAACTTAATAACGAAGAAAATGGTACACCTGAAAATATTTCGGAAAAATCAGAAAATAATAATACTAATACTAATAGTAATGGTACAGAAATTGAAGCAAAAGAAGGAAACGAAGAAGAGAATAATGTTAATAAAGATTTAAGTAAAGTAAAAATTACTCAAAATTTAACTAGAATTAAAGTGGCTCTAGAATACGATGAAAATACCGATAAAGAATTAATAGAAAAGAATCAAGTAAAACCGATTGATGATCGTCGAAGAAAAGACAGCAGCAAATCTGAGGGAACGACCGTTTTTTCGGATTCATCCGACAGTGAAGTTAGTTATTATTCCGAAGATGAAGATGAAGAGGAAGGTGAAGAAGAAGAAGAAGATAATAATGAAAAAGATGATGAAAATTCAAATTCGAATAAAAAGTCTAAAATTTTTAACGTTGTTCAAACTACGAGTGGCAGATTTATAGTTACTGACGTAGACGATTATGATACGATGAGAAAAGAATTTATGAAGGGAGATGATAAACCGGAAAAGGAAAAAAGGAAATTAACTTCAAAACAAAGGAGAGCAATCGAAAGAGCTCAAAAGAGGAAGAAAATCGGAAGTAATTTTTACGAAGTTACAAATGTCAAAAATAGAAATCGTAATCGTAAAAAACCCAAAATTTAAACGCAATTATTGGTAATATATTTGAATTATTTTAAAACAATTTTTTATCTTTTTAACTCTTTATTTATTATTAATTTTTTTTATTTAAACAAATTTTTCCGAATGAAAGTGGAAGCAGAATTATTAAAATGAAAACAGAAAACCGTTAAGAGAAATTTTTATATTTTTAATTTATTTAATAAATAACAATGATATAATCAAAATATAAAAACAAAAACACAAAATAATTTTATTTAAATTTTGATATAAACATTTATTAATAATAGAGAAAACTATTTTTAAAAAAAAAAAATGGCGCTCATTCTATTTTATTATTTATAGTTTTACAATTATGTATATATATTGTTACAAACCGATTCGATTATGGTTTCATAACGTTAAGGTTTTTTTCGCGTCCGTGTTTCCTATTTTTTTAAATATCACAATCAGAAAACTTTTTTCGAAGAGTTGTTATTTTTAATTTACATTTTATAATACAAACATACAACTAAAAGGTTTGTCACTTTTTTTGTGGATCAAGCTCTATATGACTTCACTTTCACTATACTGGATTTAAGTCACTGTAATATATGGAAAGAACAAACCAAAGATGAACTAGAAGAGAAAAAGATCAGAAGAAACCTTCTTCATTTATCCAGCTTTCTTTAGTATGCTGTATATACTAATTGTTACTTCTATGTTTAAATAATAGTATTTATATACAAAACCAGCAGAATTAAAATTTCTAGAAGTTTCATCATCTGTAGATTTGGTAACCATGGTAACCAAATGTTATTATTTATAAACAACATGGAAATGTAAACATTTCAAGATGGGATCACAACAATATAGGTATGTATATATGAATATAAAGTTAATTAACTTTGAATTTAATGATTAATTAATATTTAAAGTTATAAAAAAAATTTTTTTAATTTGAGTTCTTTCTTTATTTATTTAAATAATTTGTTTAAATAGTCAATTTGTTATCAAGAAATGAATTGTATTTTCTCAATTATAAAAATGGCTTAGGGTTTTTTTTATTAAATACTGTAAAAATATCACTGTGGATAGAAATCACTAATACTTCAATATTTTTTTGTTTAAAAAAAAGTGTTTTGAATTGTTATATTGTCAAAAACTTAATTCCAAATTCGTAGAAAAGAATCCCAGGATCCTGTAGCAACAGCCATACCATCATCAGTGACTCCTAAACAACTCACACGGTTGTCGTGTCCAGCAAGGATTCCTATTCTTTCTGCTTTAATAGAATCCCAAATATTGCAGTTGAAATCGTCGTAACCCGCTAAAAGAAGTCGGCCGGATTTGCTGAAAGCAACAGATGTTATACCACAAATTATGTTATCTCGGGAATACATGGCAAGTTCTTGATCGGCTCGAATATCAAAGAGCCTGCACGAAGCATCGTCTGATCCAGTGGCGAATGCTTGACCATTTGGGAAGAATGTCACGGCGTTTATATCAGATTCGTGGCCGGGAAACGTTTGTTTACACGATCCTTCACGTATGTCCCAAAGTTTGGACGATGCGTCGCATGCACCTGATATAAACATTCTCATGTCTGGAGAAAGTGATAAACTCATTACGTCTCCCGAGTGTCCGACAAAAGATGCACACTGTTGACCAGTTTCAATATCCCATAAAGCGCATGTCATGTCACCAGAACTAGTAACTATTTGATTATCACTTAAAAACCTACAACACGACAGATAACCGGTGTGACCGGGAAGTTCTCTTGAAACTCGCACATTACCTTCGCGGGTTTTTAAACTATAAATAGAACATATATTGTCTAAACCGCCACAGGCGACAAAAGATCCACTTGGCGCATAAGCGCAAGTCATTACCCAACTTGACCTTAAAGGTATGGCGTGTATTTTATTCGTAGTATAACTGTCCCATACTATGAGTTTTCCATCTTGAGAAGCAGATACTAAATTTCTAGACTCACCATTTGAATCACAGCCCCAGTGCATTGCATATATTTTAGCTAAGTGACCTCTTAGGGTTCGACGAGTTCTCATCTGCAATCTTCCAACAGGTTCCATATTGGTAGTTGCTTGTGCCAATGTGGTATCACAAGCAGCTTTTCTTGCGTCTCGAATTGCATTTTTAAGAAATTCAGCCTCTTGTCGCAAATTATCCAAACCGTTCATTTTTATTTTTATTTATGACCTGTAAAACAATTGTTTAAAATATTTTTTTTTAAAAAGTCTCGAGGTATTTTGTCAGAATTTTCATTTTAATTTACTATATTAAAAAAATTTTTTTAAATATTTTATAAGTAAGACAGTCACAAATACGACCTCAAGTTTTTTAATAAATAAAACATCATTTCAAATCATTATTATTTTTTTCAAAAAAAAACTTTTACCTTTAATAAAAAAAAAAAAGGTAAAAAATAAAATTAATTTAAAATAGTTTTATTAATGAATACAATAATTACATAAAAATAATTAACAGAAAAAATAATTTGAAAATTTTAACGCACCTCCTCATTTAAAGTATGATTTTCAATCCCAAAATAGTTAAAATAAAAATTTTTTTAAATAAATCCATAGCCAGTTATTACATTTATAAATTATTTAATTAAAATAGATTATCATTTATTTATTTAACGTAACTGTCACTGAAATTATTGAGTCAAAAAAAAAAAAAAAAAAATTATCCATATTTGAATTTGTATTAACCGGTTCCATAAAATAAACACACCCAATATTTATTGATTACCGATTCCCTTGCAAAGCCTCCGTATTTAGTTAATTTAACGTTTTAAAAAATTATCAAAATGGCGGTTATAATTTTTTTATTTTTTAAATAATCGACAATTAGTTAATAGTTTTAAGTTAAATTTAAGAAAGAAAAAATTTTTTTTTTTGGAAATTTATAATTGTTTGATTTAAAAAAAAAAAAAAAATGCGTTAAAAATTATTTGACATACCAATTATTAATTTTAAAAGTTTAAAGAGAATCATGAAATTGTTAAATTCTTTATTGAAAGGTTTTAGTAAGGTTTAATACGAGTATCTTACGTTAGTCGATGAACGTAAGCCACAGTATAAAAGGCTTGATTTCATCCATAGTTTTTTTTTTTTTACTAGAAAATTATTGAAATGTAGAAGGATTTTTAAATTTTTGTAAAATCATTGCAATGATAAAATCCAATTTCATCTTTAAAATTTTTTTAATTTAAATTTACATAATTTCCAATGTATTTTGTATCAGTGAAATAAACACGTATTCGATTTGTATTTTTAAATAATTTTTGCTCTTAAAAAGATAAACGGGGGAAATTAATTTATTGAAAAAATAATTTAATCACTGAATTTCTACACTTTTATTTTATTTTTTTTTTAATAGTTTAGCAAATATTGCTAAATGATCGTTTAAAAACAAAAAAAAAAAACTTTTGACTACTTTCATACTGTTGATTACATAGTGAACAAAATTTCATCGATTGAATCTATTGTATTGCAGTAATACATTTTTTGTTTTTTGTGTTTTTTTAAAAAAATGTTTTCTTTTTAACCCAGGAGTCTCAAAAATATAATTTTTGAACTTTCATAAACTAAAAATAACGTAGCTGTCGCTGGTATGGTTCTTAAGAGCGTAGGTCCTAAACCACTATATAAAGCTGTTATACCTAAAATGAAATATGTGTATTATCATAGAGATTTTTAAATTTCCTTATTATAATTCTATTTAATAACAAATTTTCAATAAATACCTTCTTCCTTAGCTATTTTACACATCAACGGAATTAAATTTCCTTTTACATTAGAAACTTGAAGCCTAGATTTAACTACATCAGCTGGAAATACAACTATCCAAAACGAGATTCCTCCGACTGCACCAGCCATCATAATACCAGATGGTCCAATTTTTTCTTTAGGTACTCCTTCTGGCACTATTAAAACTTTAGTTAATTCATAACCACCGAAAAAAACAAAATAACCCGGCATCTCTCTGGCAAATGTCGAATTCAGGCCCCTAAATAATCCTTTAATTCCTTCATTTCTAAGAATTTCTTTAGTCAATGAATAAGGGGTTATTTTTTTCTATAAATAAAATATTGAAATTAATAGTTTTATTATTATAAAAATATGAAACCTTATTAAATTTTTTGAATATTTACCATATTACCACCACTACTTTGTTGTACTTCTCTAGCTGCTTGCAACTTACACTTAATTAACTCTGTCGGACATAGAGCAAAAGATGAAAAAAAAGCTGCTAAAAACCCGGCAGAAGCATTACCGATTACAGAGAGCTCTTCTTTGGCCTATTTTGAATAAGTAAAAATTAGAAAATATATAAATAAATATAAATAAATATTTAAAAAATTATTTTACTTTTTTATTAGTGACAAACTTTATAAATTGTTGGCATCCTCCATAAGCAGCGAATAAAACTGAATTTTCAGCAACATTTGCCGCTATCGCTGGAAGAGTCCCAGCATAAAGACCATTGAAAAGTCCTTCTTTAGATATTGTTTGTTGAAAACAATCTGTCATATTTTTATACAACTGAGGAAAAGCTTGCAGCTTAACTTTGACAGTATCTAAAGGTTGTCCAACCAATACTGAAGCGATTCCACCTAAACAAAAAAAAAAATGTAATGATTGAAAATTGAATTATAAAAACATAATTTTAATTTTATTTATTTATAATAATAAATAATAATCAAAATTACTATCAATATTCAATGAAAAAATTCATAACATAACAAATACATCTTTTTTAAAAGTAGATAATATCAAGGACAAATTATTATTATTAATGATAAGACTTTAATTACATAAAACAATAATTTTCAAAATATTATTTAGTCAAAAAAATTTTTTGTTTCAAAGCCAAAATTAATAAAAATAAGTTTTTTTAATAAAATAACATTTCGTTAATGATTCAATTGATGAAAAATGAAAGGTAAAACTTACCAAGGGAACCGGACGTAAAGTTAATGAGTCCATTTATAAAAGCTCTATTTTCAACATCAGTAGTACCTTTAGACGCTACAAATTAAAATAAAATGAAATTAATTATAAAATTAATAAATAATTCATTTATAATTAATTATACAAAATTATTTAAAATACTCACAAGCTTTCTGAGCTTCCATTACACGTGAATAGCAGACGATGTGACGATTTACAATATAATAGCAGAAGAAAATTTGAAATTAACGAGCGAAATCTCTTTATATGAGTCCTGGTCAAGGAAGAGTCATATGATAAAAAAATCAAAAATAATAATGTTACTTAATTGTATATTATTAATTATAATTAATCCGAGTGAACAATTATTTATGTTTATACAGCATTATCATTGGTTATATGAAATCTATTTCTACTAATAAGTTTCTTAATATCCACAATTGACTAACTAAAAAAGTTTACAAATTGAGTTAATAATGCTTATCTGCTTCATACGATTCAATGACTTTTACATAAAAATAAAAATTGTTGGATATATCATGCAAAATTAAATAAATTATTTAATGCAAATTACAATATACAAAAACAAAAAAACTATAAATTTATTTTGATAGTATTATAATGATGGAAGATAATTAACGCACTTTTATATTTATGACTTTTGAATAACTTTATATTTCAACAGGAAAAATTAAGTGCTGGTAAATTTGGGTGACATGTTTTTTTTTTTTTTCATTTGAAAAATGCTGCCATATATTTTTTTGTAACTCAATATCCTAGAAGAAAAAAAACTTTTACTTAAGTAAAACATTTGGAAGCTTAAGAATGAAATGTTAAAATTAATTTTAAATTTATTTCAATGGATGGACAATATCATGAAACCATGAATTAAAATGAGTTCTGCAATTTGTATAATTTATAAGCAGTTTCACATTGCAGGGAATTCAAGGTAAAATTTTATTTATTTATAAGTTAATTATGAAGTCCCTTTTTTTTGGTTTTTTTTTTTTAATTTAAGAAAAAAAATGTTGGGCAATATTCATATATATACACACGTATACTGTTTATAGCTATTTAATAGATTTTAATTAATTATAAATTACAAAACATATAGCTATATAAATTTTTCCTAAAGGACCCCATGAGAAAAATATAAGGATTATGGGATAAATGCTAAAAGGTCATCTATTATCACCAAGTTCAATTTGAATATGATAGTTAGTTAATTTCAACCTTTTTCTTCAACCTCATTTTAGTCAAATAGTTAGGAGTATTATTATACATAATAATAAATTATAATAAAAATATATAATTTTCTTTTTTTTTTTTGTTGTAATTGTAATATTTAAATATGTGGCGCGTTTTAGTAAGAAGACCAGAAAATGTTTATAAATTATTAACAGGTTTGTCGGTATCCAGGGAATTTCGATTCGTTTTAATCGTAAATTAAAATCTCCGATTTGAATTTTTATAGTTTTACATTAAAAAATAAAAAAAGTAAATTTGCGTTGCTAAAAATTGTTATCGCGAAAAATTTTTTGTTGTTGTTTTAGATTCCAAAATTTGTTTGAATTTTCAAAAATCGTTACAAGCGAGTACGCTAACCGATATAAAAAATACAGATGAATTTTTTTCTAAAAAAAATGAATTTGCTTCGCGTCACATCGGTCCACGAGAAAGTGATCAACAGCAAATGTTGGAATTGCTGGGATTTAAAGTAATTTTTAAACGAAATTAATTTTGAATATTTAGAAACGTGCTCTGCCCCCAAAAAAAAACTTTTTTTTTTTAAATATATATTTTTTACATTTGTATTAGTTTTATCATATTTAAAAATTTTGTACGTTTGAAGTAAACGGAAAATGGTAAAGTTTAGTTGAAAAATTTTTTTATTTACAGACTTTGGATGAAATGACGGACAAAGCTGTACCCGCCAATATTAAGTTCAAAGGTGAATTAGACATTGAACCTGCCATAGGTATGCACAAAAATTACATTTAAACTTTTTAAAATTAAACCCTTTTACGTTAAAAATAAATTCCGTAAATTTTTTTTTAGGAGAATATGAACTTTTGCAAAGAAGTCGTGAAATGGCAGAAAAGAACAAAATTTGGAGATCTTATATTGGAATGGGTTATCATAATTGTTGCGTTCCTCATACAATATTGAGAAATATTTTTGAAAATCCTGGATGGTAATCCTAATTATCAATTTAATATAAAAATAAATATTAGATGTTCTTTTTTCTGTGTAATATAAAATTTTATTTATTTTCAAAAAAATATTTACATATAAATTAACTTTAATTTTTTTCAGGACTACTCAGTATACTCCTTATCAACCTGAAGTAGCTCAGGGAAGATTGGAAAGTCTTTTAAACTATCAAACAATGATTTCTGACTTGACTGGTTTAGAAGTTGCTAATGCTTCATTGTTGGACGAAGGTACAGCAGCAGCAGAAGCCATGACTCTATGTCACAGGTATTTTAGTTTTAGTGATTGAGGAAAAAAAAAAAAATTTGATTTCTTTTGAGATAATTTTTTTTATTTTTTTAGACAAAACAAACGGTTGAAGGTTTTCCTTTCTGAGAAACTGCATCCACAAACAGCATCCCTTGTTCAAACTAGATGTGATTCTTTAAACATCCAAGTTCACATAGGAGATTTAAAAACTGCTGATTTTTCTAATAGAGATTATGCTGCAGTACTTGTTCAATATCCAAACACTGATGGAACAATCGAGGATTATGTAGATATTGTTGAAAAAGCTCATTCTCACGGCGTAATTATTTTTAAAACTTTTCTTTTTTTTAACATTTTTTTTAAGACTTAATGATAAAGAGCTAATTTGTTGCAGACTCTCGCCGTTTGTGCCACCGATTTACTCGCTCTTACAATTCTAAGGCCACCAAGTGAATTTGATGTTGATATTGCCATTGGAACCTCACAAAGATTTGGTGTTTCATTAAATTACGGAGGTCCTCATGCAGGATTTTTTGCCTGTAAACAGAATTTAGTAAGACTTATGCCTGGAAGAATGATTGGAGTTACAAGGTTCTACTAAAAATTTTTTTTTTTTTAAATTGAAAATATTGGAAAATTGAAATTTTTAATTATTTAATTTTTGAATTTTAGAGATTCGAGTGGCAACGATGCGTACAGATTAGCTCTTCAAACACGAGAACAACATATTCGAAGAGACAAAGCAACATCAAACATTTGTACAGCTCAAGCTTTGTTGGCAAACATGTCTGCTATGTATGCAGTTTATCACGGACCGGAAGGATTAAAAAATATAGCCAACAGAGTGCACGGAGCTACTCTTATTTTAAGTGCAGGTATGTCAACAATCAATTGATTGGTGTACAAAATTTCACACTTAAACTATTCCTTGAATTTTCAGGGTTGAAAAAAAGAGGTCATAAAGTTTTGAATCCTTTATTTTTTGACACAATCAAAGTTGAGCCGATATTGAATATGTTTGAAATACAAGATAGAGCAGCTCAAAAAAAAATAAATTTAAGGTATTTTGATGACGACACAATAGGAATCGCTTTAGACGAAACAGTAGGAACGAACGATATTCAAGATTTGTTTTATATTTTTGGCGTAAAAGAAACCGTCAACGAGGTTTGTGTGCCTTAAAATAAATAAAAGTAAATTTTTTTTCTTTTATTTTTAAAAATGAATTAATTTTTTAAAGATAGCTGCCAAAGTAAATGAAACGGAAAAATCAATTCTCGATACGCCAATGAAACGAACTTCACCTTTTCTTACGCATTATATATTTAATAGCCGACATTCTGAATCAAAAATAGTCAGGTACATGAAACAATTGGAAAATAAAGATGTGTCGTTGGTGCACTCGATGATTCCTTTGGTGAGTTAAAATAAAGTCAAATAAATGATTTTTTACCAATAAAAAAAAATGAACGAAAATGTTTTTTTTTTTTTTTTTTTTTGTTAGGGATCTTGTACTATGAAATTAAACAGCACAACTGAAATGATTCCATGCAGTTTCCCACATTTTGCTGATCTGCATCCATTTGCTCCTTTGGATCAAACTGAAGGCTACCAGCAACTTTTTAAAGAATTAGAAAAAGATCTTTGTGCTGTGACCGGCTATGAAAAAATTTCATTTCAACCGAATAGGTATCTTAAAAAATTTTTTTAACATTATTTTAAAAACATATTGAAAAAATAATAATAATGATTTTAGTGGAGCACAAGGAGAATATGCAGGTCTTCGAGCCATTCAAAGTTATCACGAATCCAAAGGTGAAGGAAGCAGAAACATTTGTTTAATTCCAATTTCTGCTCATGGAACAAATCCTGCAAGTGCACAGATGGCAGGAATGAAAGTAGAACCTGTGAACATAGCACGAGATGGTACTATTGACATAATCCAATTGAAAGAAAAGGTAAAAATTCAATCGTAAAATGAATCCGATAATAATTTAAAATTTTTTAAATTGCTTATTAATTTTTGAGGTTGATCAATTCAAAGATGTTTTATCATGTTTAATGATTACTTATCCATCAACAAATGGCATGTTCGAAGAATCAATTGCAGATGTTTGTGATATAATTCATAAAAATGGAGGTCAGGTGTATTTGGATGGTGCCAACATGAATGCTCAAGTAGGTTTATGTCGACCAGGTGATTATGGATCCGATGTCTCTCATTTAAATTTACACAAAACATTTTGTATTCCTCACGGAGGTGGAGGACCTGGTAAATATTATTAAAATAAAATTCATTAAATCATATTAAAAAAAATACATTTTATTATTATTATTATTTTCAAAGGTGTGGGTCCCATTGGAGTCAAAGCACATTTAGCTCCTTTTCTTCCTTCACATCCAGTTGTTAATCCCTTGGGAGAATCTGGAACTAAAACAAAATCTTTTGGAGTCGTTAGTGCTGCACCTTTTGGCTCCAGTGCTATTCTACCCATATCCTGGGCTTACATAAAGGTAATCCATTTATAAATTCGTACAAAAAAAAAATTTTTTTCTTTCATTAATAATTAATTATGTTTAAGATGATGGGTGGTAAAGGTTTAAAAAAGGCTACACAAGTTGCTATACTTAATGCAAACTACATGTCTAAAAAATTAGAAAATCATTACAAAACTCTTTTCAAATCACCCAAAACGAATATGTGTGCTCACGAATTTATTATAGATTTAAGAGAAATGAAAAAAACAGCCGGAATAGAACCTGTTGATGTTGCTAAAAGGTAAAAGGTCAATCGAAAACAAATTTTTTTTATATTAAAATGATAGTAAAAGTAAGAAATATTTTAGGTTGATGGATTACGGTTTTCACGCACCCACAATGAGTTGGCCGGTTCCAGGTACTTTAATGGTTGAACCAACTGAATCTGAAGACAAAGAAGAATTGGACAGATTCTGCGAATCTCTTATATGTGAGCGTCAACAATACGAATTACAATAATTTCTTAAAATAAATTTATGGCATATATTTATACTTATTGTAGGCATTAGACAAGAAATCCGTGATATAGAAGATGGTAAAATGGATCCAAGAACAAATCCTTTAAAAATGGCGCCTCACACGCAACAACAAGTTATTTCATCGGATTGGAATAGACCGTATACAAGAGAACAAGCAGCTTTTCCTGCGGTTCGTTTAAAAATTAATTTTTTTTTTTTTTTTAATTTAATTTTAATAATGATTTAAATAATTAAATTATTTCACGCAGCCATTTGTAAAAGGAGAAACGAAAATATGGCCGACCTGTGGAAGAATTGATGATGCTTACGGTGACAAACATCTTGTATGTACTTGCCCCCCAATATTACCGGATTACACCCCATCTTGATTTGATTTAAAAAAAAAAAAGGAAAATTAGGTTGTATGATAAGAATTTAATTATAAAAAAAAAAAATTGTAAATATTAGCATAATAAAAAAAATTAATTTTTATTTTTAAATCATTTTATAAAAAAAAATAAAAAATAAAATTAATTCACATGTAAAATCATTCAATTGTAAAAAAAAGTGTTTAAACGAATATTAAAAATAATTTTAATTGTTTATAATCCTTAAAACAAATGTAAATGAACGGAAAAGTAAATATTTTATTATTATTATTATTATTATTAATTTATCAAATGATGCCAGTTGTTGTTGTTGTTGTTGTTGTTTTTTCAAGGATAAAAACGTTTAACAGTTTTTTTAATTATTTTAAATTTATCATTTGTGCAAATATTATTATTATCATAACAAAAAATAAAAAAAAAGGAAAGTTTAATTTTATAAAATAATAAAAAAATAAAAATAAGTATAAAAATTAATTTAAAGTGGTTTTTTTTTATTTTTATTTTTTGTTAACAAAAGAAAATTATTATTCGAGTAAAAACCAATTATTCGAAACGTTTTTCGTTTAAAAAAAAAAAAAAAGTTAAAACTTTATCTATAATTACTTATAATTGGGGGGGGACTTAAATGAGGTTTTTGTTACGTTTCCTGTTTCCGTAACGTTGGCACCCGCAGATTTTCATTTGGTTATCGTATTTTGTCGTTAAATTATGTCACGTCGTACTTTTCTGTTTTTCTAAACTTTACTTTTAAAAAATTAAAAAAGGTAAGAAAAATATTATTATTAATATCAAAACTTTTTTTTATAAAAAAAAATTTTACAACATTTTGTGTCATAAAATATTATTTTACAATCTTATCAATTTTATCTTTTTTTTTTTTTTCAAAAAAAACTTTTTGTTGATTTAATATTATTTATTGATTATTGATTATCGATTTTGTCATATATACAAACAAACAAACAAACAAATAAATTTTTTTCCGTCCATATTTATTATAAATTTTATACCAAAAACTTACAAAATATTTTTATTTTAAAAGGGGAAAAATCACATTTTTATATATACAAACCTTTAATTATAAATAAAATAAAAATAATAATAATAATGTCAGTCATTTAAAAAAAAAAAAAAAATTAATGTAAACATTAACGGGGAAATTTTTACAATTAAGGGAATTATAATAATAATAATAATAATAACCAATGAAAATGTAATCTCGAATATAAATATTATTATTATTATTGTGTTAATCAAAATGTTTTTTTGTTTAAAATAATGATTTTTTTTATTTCTCCCCCCCCTCGCACCCCGACCCCGATTACAGTGACGATGAATAATTTAAAGTGATTAATAATAATATTAATTAATTAAAGATTTTGTGTGTGTGCCGTGACGACGACAATATGTCACCGAATAACGGAAAGTCTTCTTCCATCATTAAATCTTCTAACGAAGGTATAAAAAAAATGACAATAAAAAATTCATACGGAATCATTTCTGAAAAATATCCAATCGTGTCTAATGATATGTTTAATAATAATAATGATGGTGACATTTTAATAAAGAATAATAATGCGTGTTGTAAAAACGAAACTGTTAATTCTTTAATGGATGAATTATTATGTGATATTTACGGTAATAATAAAACGATATTGAAAAGAACGTGTCACGTGACGACGACGACGACGACGACGACGTCGACGGTGACGCCGATGGTGGCGACGACGGCAACCACCTGCGATTTAAGTTGGCAAGATTCTGATCAAAGTAAATCATCAAATGATTCTTCATCTTCTTCACAATATTATAATTATTATTATAATAAATGGATGTCAAAAGGTATAACAATCTTTTTTATATTTTATTATTATCGGTCAAATTCAACGCCATGTTTTCGGTTTTCCGTTAATTTTATTTAAAATAAACCTTCCCCCTCAGCGCCCCCTGCCCCCTACCCCCGGCGCCCTCTATTTCATACTTTTGTTCGTTGTTACAGATTTGAATGATCTTAGAAGGGAAAAATACGAATTGGAAAAACTAATTGGAGAAAAGGGAAATCAATTAGTTAAATATTTAAAAAAGAAAAATTTTCTTTTGATGAAAAGAGAAGCTCATTATAATGTAATTACGGCTTACATTCAAGCCGTATCACCTAAAACAAGTAAGTTTATATTAAGTTACCATTTTGTCCAAAAAAATTTTCCCAAGGTCAATTATGTTTATTATTTTTGAAAATAACGGTTTTTTTTCTCGAAAAGTTATGTAACGAGGTGGTGATTGATTATTATTAGTTAGTTATACAAATAAATTTTTTCTAATTAAGTAATATTGTATTTCGTAATAATAATAATAATAATGATTATAAAAAATTTAACGTATTTCGAAAAAAAAAAAAAGATTAAAAAACGTTTCGTGTAAACATCGAACAAAAAAAAAAAAAATGTCAATTCGTGTGTGTGTGTGTGTCGTTTTTAAGTAATGGATTAATATTGAAATAATTGAACGGGTCGTTAAATTCGATTAAACCTTTAATTATGTTTTTATTGATTTGAAAATCTTTTTAAAAAAAAAAAAAAATTTTGTTTGTTGATTAATTTTTAATCGCAATGTCCTTGAGCGTCAGAATTTTTTTTTTTTGTTCACGCTACTAACAAAGTCCGCCATTTTTGTTTTTTCGGTTAAAATTTTGCTGACGTTGAAAATTTTTTTTTTTTGTAAGTTGATAAAATTATTACGTCACGTAATTAATTTATTTTTGTTTTACATGGAATTTTTTATTAAAATTATAATACTAAGAGTTTAAAAAAACGTTTTTTTTTATTTTACCACGCATAAAAAGCAATAATTTTAAAAACTTAAGAAAAAATTGATTTCCATTTAAAAAAAAAGATTTTAAGGAACGATATTTAATAGTGAGTGTTGTGACTTACTTTTAAAATTGTTTTTGATTTTCATCATATTTAATAAAAATAAAAAACACGGCGAAATTTTATACGAAATTGAATAAAAGAACGAAAAAGAACAAAAACGAAAAACTTGCGCACAATGAAACGAATTCTCTCTCTCTCTTTCTCTTTCTCTCTTTCCCTCCCTTCCTCCCTCTCTCTCTCTCTCTCTCCCCTTTTCACAGAGAGCAAAATATCGATGCCCCAAAGACTCAGTAAAAGGTTTTCTCTGCAACAAAAAATTTCAACATGGCGTCGGTTATTTTACACAACAATTTGTGCGGTTTTTACACGTTTTCTTTCTTTAATTGTAATTAATTTATACCGATTTTATAATTAATTATTTACGTACGGTAATTACATTACAGTAATTAATTAATTATTTAAAGAAAAAAAAAAGTTTAATTTATTAATTGATCGAAACGTTTTTTTTTTTTTGTGCATTAAAAAAAAAAAAAATTTAATTGTTTCTGTGTAATTTTTTTTTTTTTTTATAACAGCGGGTGTCATAAATTATCTTTTTACAATTACAAATGTTTTCTGACAATTAAATAAAATGAGTCAGTGATAATACGATAATAATAATAATAATAAACGACACACTTGTTATATTTTATTATTATTTTAATAGTACATATGTCCCATTTCCGTTATAAACTTCTAGAAAAAAAAAAAAAAAAAAAACGTTAATTTATAATTATATCGTTAAATCAAAATGATGGATCATTTAATTAATAATTTTTATTAACGGTTATTTATACTTATTAAAGTTAAAATCAAAAGAAATTTATTTTTGCTTATTTTAAGCACACTTTAAGCGTATTTTTAACAAAGTCAATGAATCACAATTAAAAACTTAATTTATAAAAAAATTAACGCGGTTTTCAAAATGGCGAATCAAATACAGGTATTGTAGTTATTTAACACATACATGACAATAATTACATATTTAGTTTGGGCTAAGCATAAAAAATTTACGATAAAATAATAATGATAATAAAAAAATGTCGCGGTCGTGGAAAAAGCTTTTTTTTGTATTAAAAAAAAAAAAAAAAACGTGCTGTGAAAGCTAAAAACGTTTTTTTATCCTTGCGATAATGGATATCATTATCATAGAAATGACGGTTAAAATTTCTTAATTTTTTTTTTTTTTTTTTTAAAGACTATTATTATTATTATTTATTACTGAACATAAAAAAAAACACACGGGAAATGGGATGACATTTGGTTTTTTCAAATGAGTTTATTAAACTCTATAATGAAACTTACATCTGGGTTAAGAACCGCCGGTGAGTTTTTCCCTGCCCTCCCCTCCCCCCTCCCCCCCAAATATATACAAAAAAATAATTTTCCGGAAAAAGATTTTCATTCAAATTGGTAATAAATGTTTATATTGATTACTTTTTTTTTTTTTAAAGGAGAAGATACGAAAATGAAATTTTCTCTTAGTCCCGGTCCCGAAACTGGTTTTTCTCAATGGGTCGATGCAATGAAAATGGTAGCACAATTACCGGATGGAATGCCTCCAGAATTTAGAACAAAACTTTGGCTTCAATTATCGGAAAAACATTTAAATGATAAAAATGTCGATTGGGAAAAAGCTGAGAGTGTCATATTTAACGAATGGACGAATCCAGACGATGAAGAACTCGGTGTACAAATAGTTAAGGTTAATAATATTATTTATAAAAAAAGAAAAATTTTTTTATTTCCGTTAGAAAGAATTTTGCCATTATTATTATTATTATTATTAAGTTATCACATTTGAAATTTTCATCATCTAATTTTCCTGACTACTAAAGTTTTTTTTTTTTTTTTTCACTTCCTTCACTAACTGTCATTCATTTCCGTTAAATATTTCTTTCCCTTTTGAAAATATATATATATTTTAATAAAATTATGATAAGAAATTTAAAATTAAAAAAAAAAAAATCTAATTTTAAATTTTAAATTTGACAATTTATTTAATATTACTTTCACTGAAAATAAGAAATAATAATAATAATAATAATAATATGTGTTTAGAAAAAGTTTTTTTTTTTTTTTTAAATTAAACTTTTTTAATATATTTTGAAACTTTTTTTTTATTTTTTATAGGATTTGCATCGTACGGGATGTTCTTTATTTTGTGGCGAACAAGAACATAATCAAGCTCTTTTAAAAAGAGTTTTATTAGCTTATGCCAGATGGAATAAAAATGTCGGATATTGTCAGGGTTTTAACATGTTGGCAGCACTTATTCTTCAAGTTATGGAAAAACATGAGAAAAATGCAGTCAAAGTAAAACATACATATATTTTGTTTTTAAAATTATTATTCACTTTCATGAAATTATTTTTAATTTTATTTATTAAAGGTCATGATTTATTTAATCGAGGGTGTTTTACCAGAAAGTTATTTTGCTAATAATTTAAGAGGTTTATCAGTTGATATGGCCGTTTTTAGAGATTTGCTTAAAATACGATTACCCAAATTGTCAAAACATTTGGAAGCGTTACAACACGACACGAATTCAGGTTAATTTCTTTTTCATTTGTCATTAAAAAAAAAAAAAAAATTTTAAATGTCTTAATTAAAAAAAAATTTTTCAGGAATCAATTACGAACCTCCGCTGACAAACGTTTTTACAATGCAATGGTTTTTAACGTTGTTTTCCAATTGTCTCCCACAACAAACAGTGCTCAGAGTTTGGGATTTGGTGTTTTTATACGGGAACGAAGTTGTACTGAGAACAGCTCTTGCAATATGGGGTATATTGCAAGAAAGAGTAATAACCGTTGAATCTGCAGACGAATTTTATAGCATCATGGGTGTCGTGACGAGGGAAATGTTAGAATTCGGTTTGATGGATGCCAATACTCTTGTCAAAGTAAATAATATTTCTTTTGTTGTTGTTATCGTTGGCTTGTTTAAAAATTTTAAGCGTACGTTTAATATTAGAGGATTGCCATGGTTGACCCCTTTCCGAACGAATTGCAAGAATTGAGAGAAAAATATTTATATAATATTAGTCCGTGGAGTCAATCCGTTCAGGGAGCGGCCAAAAAAGGGATAAAATTATTATACGGTGATCCAGATGATCAAGATGATACGGAAGATGAAGATAAAATTGCATTTACGACTGCTTATGGTGTTTTTCGAAGACAAGGTAAAGACGGGAGAATTTTTTTATTGTCGACAAGTAACGAATGAAAAGAATTTTTCCATTCGAAATTTTTTCAATTCCAGAATCATCGAACCGGGAACTTCAGATTTCGGGTCCAACACTCGATATTGGTATTCTTAAACAACAATATGCAAAATTACGTCAACGTCAAAGACAAGCTCACGTCATAATTTCAGCTGCTTGCAATTCAAATTTTGCCGGAAGTTTAACGCAAAGTCCGAGCGTTTCCGTTAATCATTTATTGATAGGGAAAAGTGCGTTGGTTAATAAAGGAAGACGTATCGGTCCTCCCGAAGGATCCATACCTCCAAATAATAAAAAAATACCTGCCAAAAATATTCACCAAGAAGAATCTGAAACAAAAACAAAAAAATTTACAAATATAAATAATTATGATAACGGAGAGGAAAAGGAATCTTTTAGAAATAATAATAATAATAATAATAATAATAAATCAAAAATTGACGAAGAAGAAAAAGAAAAAACGAATCACGATCGAATGAGAAACAAAGGTGAAAAGTTTTTTAATTTAAATTTAAATTTAAATTTATTAATTGATTTTTTATTAAATAAAATTTTTTTGTCTTGCAGAAAGGAAAATCAGCAGCAGTGACGATTCAACCGATTCCAGCAGCACCGAACTTTGCGACAAGGAAATCGTCAGCGATTCTGAAAATAGCGATATTTTTGATTCTTCTGATGGAAAAACAATACCTGATTGTGGTACCGTCCAAAAATTACCACGAGATTCAGATACTTCGCTCATTTCAACATCCGGTGACATTGACGAAAAAATAAAAGAAAAAAATTTTAACTGTGATAAATATAATTTAGTGGTGCCAGAAAGAGAAGAAGAAGAAGAAGAAGAAAAATTATTGATAAACATAGAAGAAGAAGAAGGTGATGATTTGTTTGATTTAAAACTTTCAGAAGAGAATAAATTTAACGGAAAAAGTGAAAATTTGAATTATTCAGTTGATGTTGATAATAAGTTTTCAAATAAAGTACAAAGTAAGCAATTCGACAATACAAACAGTATTATTATGTTACCTAAGAACTCAGATAATAAAATCGAGTCAAAAAATATTTTAATACAGAAACTTGAAGTGCCAAGTAATCAAAATGTGATAATTATCTCAGGCGTCAATGATGATGATAAGAGAGAAAATGATAAAGTGGAAAATGTTGAAAGTAAAAAAAAAATCGAATTAGGATTCAACGTGATAGAAGAAAATTCACAAATGTTGAATAAATTTTCCCAGAGATTTTCACAATCGAATAAAACGTTGAACGTTGATAAAAACGAGGAAAATGATTTCAATTTAAGGTTTTCTCTTTCTACAAAGAAACCTATGAGAAAAGATGATGAAGAGGGAGAGAGAAACATTATCGAGGTAAAAATTATAATGTTTAACTTATGTAAAAATCATTGAACACGTGACACGTTTTTTTTTAACTTTTTAGGAAGAAAATTTTAAGACTGAAAATTTAAATGATAAAAACCCTTCGATAAGAGAAATGACAACAGAAAAGAGACCGGAAAGAGCAGAAAAAGCAAACAAAGAAGTCAACACGGAAATAACTTTCGGTTCGGAAAATATTTTATACGGAAAAACAAAAAAAGGATCAAAATGTTGGACGGATACGGAATCGATTCCTAGTCCTCCTCCTGGATCTCCCACAGGTTCAAATCCTGAGTATTCAATGAATTTAAAACTTTCTCGACCTTATTTGAAGAAAGTGAGTAAAAAATACGTGGGAGAAGATGAAACAGCATCAAAATTAGAAGAAAGTAAAAGTGATTGGATGATTAAAATGAAAAAAATACAAGAACTCGAAACTATGACGAGAGAAACATTAAACGAGATTCAATCGCAATCGAGTCCGAGAAAAACTTTGGAAAATTTTAAATGTCGGAAAAATTCAAAACGTTCGATACTCGTGGACGTGGACGTCGACGTCGACGACGACGACGACGACGACCATGGCGACGACTACACGAAAACTAAAACAATAGTCGATAATAATATAGAAAGTTCATTATCATCATCGTGCGAAGAAATCGGACGAAACATCAAATACGAATCCAGTTCGTTCGACGCCATAACATCGAGAACGGAAAAACTACTCGGAAACGTGGAAATAATAAATCGTTCTTCGGACGATTTATTATATCGAAAAAACGATTTCGATTATTTAAAACGAGAGGATTCGAGAATACAATCGACGACGTTCAACAACGACGACGACGACGACGAGGAAAACGAATTAAAATCGAGATTAGAATTTTTAAAAAAAATTACAAATTCGTCGAGGGATTTCGAAAGGGATTCGATACGACGAAGAGAAGAATCCCCGCTCAATAAAACAAACGTCGATAATAACAACAAACGAGAGATTCACACGAATGTGAAAACAACGACGTCACAAAATAAAAATTCTGATATTTCATGGCAGAAATACGTTTTGGAAAAAAAAAGATCAGAGATAAACGTCGATTTTCAACCGAGCAAATCCAACTTTAATCCTTTTCCAACTAGAACAGGTTCGAAACCTAAAGATCTCGGTATGAAATTAGGTTTATATCCTTCTTCACCGGAAACGCAACCTAAAAAAGTATAAAAAAAATGTTGTCTTGTGATTTCCGGAAGGAAGGAAGGAAGGAAGGGTAAAAAAAAAAAAAAGGTTAAAATGTAATAATTTTCTTATCGATTTCTTTTTTATCGTTGTTGTTACTGTTGTTGCTGTTGTTGCTGTTGCTGCTGTTTATGCCTTAAACGCGTGTGAAAAAAAATTTTTTCATATTATCTATGGTTATAAAACGAGTTGTTACATTTTACATAAAATTATTTAATTGTGCTTTATATGCTTCTGTTATTGTTTATAATTCACTCTCAAAATAATTTTTTTTCATGCCTTGTACATATTTATGTATACATACATACACACATATATATATATATATATATATATATATAATTTTTTTAAAATCTTAAATTTTTTTTATTTTTTTTATTTCCTTTTTTCCTTTTTTCCTTTTTTTCCTTTTAAAAAAAACAGAAGAAAAATTAAATTATAAAAATCTGTATAGAGAGAATCCATAAGCAAATAAATACGACATTAATTATAATAACAACAATAAAGCAAACATTTTAAATCATTATTATTATTATCATTATTATTATTATTTTGATAATTTTTAATAATGTAGACGTGATAATAATAATTTAATAATAAAAATCTCATTAGAAAAAATTGAAGGATTTGAAAAGATTTACATAAGAAATTTTATTTTTAAAAAATTTTTTTTTATTAAAAAAAAATTATAAGTTTAATAATTTTGAATTATTATTATTATTATTTATTAATTAATTAATTAATTAGTCAAAAATAAATTAAAAGTTTTCCTTTCTTTATTATTAATATTACAAAAAAAAAATCAAATCAAATTTAAAAAAATTTTTTAAAACTTAACTCTTTGGTATTTTCGCGATACATTTATTTAAATAAAATTTTGAATTATTATAAAGAATAAAAAAAACGTATTTTTTATATAATTACGATTATAATGATAATAATGATAATAATAATAAAAAGGTAATAGTAATAAATTAAATAAATCGGTATATAAAATAAGTTTTAAAAAACTTATTAATCACGTACGTATATGAAGAGAGAAAAATTTTTTTTTTTTTTAATTTTTCGCGGGCAAATTTAATTAACGGAACCGGAAGTTGAATTTTTAATTATATCTTTATTATTTGATTCCGTATTTAAACCGAATGTAAATTTTTCCGTTTTGTTTTCCTTTGTAAATTCTTCCATGTCTTCTTTAATTTGAAAAATATCAAATAACGATTTCATGCTTTCTAAACCTTTTTCAATGTATTCGTAGATTTTCGGTAGGAAATTATTATTATTATTATTATTATTATTTGTTTGTTCTGATTGTCTCGGTGTTGCCAAAGGTTCCGTTTGTTTTTTCAACGGTTCATTTAATTTCGCGGTATAATTTTTCTTTTCCGGATAATTTACCTGATGATATTTTTTAGTTTTGTCTCTGTTTAACAATTCCAATGGATTGAAAAAATTCGCTTTCGCATAATGTTCGGCTTGTTTCAATATGGCGGCTAAATATTGTGGAAAAAGTTGAACCGTTATCGTACCATCTTTATTATTATCATCCGGATAATTCATGTAATTATTATCGATTTGAGACGGATAGAATTTCTGTAATGATTTCGTACCTTCTGATTTTTTATTATATTTATCACGTTGCGCCATCTTGCTTTGAAGTGTCATAGGTAGGGGAAAATCCGTTTTCTGATATCTCATGAAGGGTGGATAAAATTCTTTAACGTGATTTGTAGTTTCCGGTTCTTTTGTCGGACCCCAAAAACTTTGCCATCCTAATGGCGGAGGATGCATTTCACGTGGGGGACTCCATAATTTCGAATAATTTCCTTTAAAAACGTGATTTGTTTGTTCTTGTGATGATAACGTTTCCAAATCGATACCCCTCGGTTTGACCCCCCCTGATTTCTTCGACATCCTCCTGTTAATCCCAATCGTTGTTCTTTCCACTATTTCAACTTTTTCAATGGGTTTTAAAACAGGTTCGTCGATTTCATCTTTAAAACTTCTTCCCTTCGATTTGGGTTGTAAAACCGGTTCTGTTATTTCGTGTTTCCTTATTATTTTCATCGTGTAATTTTTTTCATAAGGTTGTTGTTGTTGTTGTTGTTGTTGTTGGATTGTTGATAATTTTGGTACAATGGCGTCTATAATTATTTTATTTGTTTCTGCACTCTCTGAATCTTTTGAATAAACGTCATAAAAATCTTTATTACTCGTGTATGCTGGAAAACCATCGACGACAAAACCGGAAGATTTATTTGTTTTGATTGTCGTTGTCGAAGGGGGAGAAATGGTTGTTGTTGTTGTTGTTGTTGTCGACGTCGTCGTCGTCGTCGTGGTCGCCGCCCCCGCCGAATCTTTTTTCGTTAAATTTTCATTTTTTTTATTTGATTCCGTTAAGAAAAAAGGATCGATTTCTTCGGTTGTTGTTGGTATTTCAAGTTCTTTCGGTATGTTACAATCTCCAGGAAATAATTTTAAAGTGACTGGAATTTTAGATTCGAGGACAAGATCTTTTTTGCAATGAGACAAATATTTACCGTAACTGTCGCTCAATTTGATTTTATCAATGTTCCACTTTTTCAATCCGCTCGATATCCATCCGCTGTAGGCTATGTAAACGATTTCTATTGCGAGAGGTTCCAAAGCAGGATGAGGTACAATTATCCTTGTTAGTATATCGCCAACGCCCAATTCTTCGTCGTCCTTTTTTGTCAATGTGAAAGTTTCGTTAATTAAATTTTCACCAATCAACGTTATTTGTATTTTTCCATAATTTACAACTGGAACTTTATTCGGTGAGCTTTCTATTTTCACGTGATACTGATGAGCTGGAAATAAAAAATGGCCCAAATGTAAAATTAACTAAAAATTTAAATAATAATTGAAAAGTGTATAAATCCAAGAGAGAGAGAGAGAGAGAGAGAGAGAGAGAGAGAGAGAGAGAAAACATTATTATTAAATATCAACATTTCGAAAGTAAAATTTCAATAAATTTAACAATGAATAATTTTTACATTTTTTACTACCACTACTACGCATTGTTGAACAAAATTCATTTCTTTTCCTTTCGATAATATTATGAGGATTTAGGAGGGGCAGGGGGGAGGAGGAGGAGGAGGAGGGGCTCGACCTGGGGCTCGACCCGTGAAAGAAAGTAACTTAAAATAATAGTTGTTTATAAAAAAACCCTCACCACAAAACGGTTCTTCTTCTCTTGTAACCAAATATAATGATCCTCTTGCCAATGATTTATCTGCGTAATAACCCATGTTACCACATTCTTGTTTCGTAGTGCATGGAAAACATTCACCATCGATAAATTTTTTATAAGATTCACACGGGAAAGCTGGAAAATGGCACCGGGGAGATACTGAATCCGTGAAAAATTTATAAGCTCGACGATGATTGCAAAGTGATCGACCTTCAATATCGCTTGCAGCTGAAATTTTAAAACGAGATTTTTAATTTTTTCTTGTAAATTATTTTATATTTTTATATTTCGAAACACTTTTCAACGGATTAAATAAAATATAAAATTATAAAACGATTGGTCACAGTTTAAAACTAGGTAAAGGTCGATCATTTTTATTAGGATTCACCAGGTTATCTAATTATAGAGTTAATTTATACTTACACCAGATAATATCGCTAACAGCACCCACGAAAAGGTTAGTACAACCTTTCTGCATTCTTCCACCGTTTGGATAAAAATCAACGTGACCCATTGGTTGCCATGATCCCAAACCTCCGAGTATTAAATTTTCTCCATTCGAATGAATAACATCAACAAATTTAGCATCCGTTTCATCGAGTCTAGCTTTTGGATCTTGACTTTCAAACAGGGGACCGGCTGGATCCAAACCTGTTACGTTGAAATAATGCTTATTTTTTTTTTTTTGTTGGTAATTTATATTATATAATTTAAAACTTTTTTTATGTACCCGTTATTCGACTGATATTTTTTAATTCGGCTCCTGCAAAGCCAGCAACGTGTGCTCCAAGTGAAAATCCTATCAGGTGGACTTTATCGAGTGCAAGGCCACGTTCTGTGAGTCCCTGAATGAATAAAGCTAATTGTTTACCCACCAGCCTAGTGTTGGCGACAGCTCTGACGTAATTGGGTATGAGTGCTCCTGCTTCCCAATCGACGCAAATAACGTTGCAGTCTTCCTATATAATTTAAGTTAAGCATAAAATATCGAGCAGCAGGAAGTAATTGGAAAAAAATGACCTCACGTGACCATTAAGTTAACAAGTATTATTCAGGTTTATTAATATTTTGCAATCGTAATCACAGAAAAAACATTTAATATCGTACCACGCTCATTAAGGCACTTCTCATTTCGTATACCCATATGTGATTACAAGAAGATCCAAAACCGTGGACGATTATTTTCGTCGGAGTGGTGGTATTGAAATTATCGGATGCCCATGCCCAGAGTTGAGTCATGTTTGAATAAGGAACTTCCATTAACGGTACATCTCCTCTACTGTTTTCAGAATATAATTTAAATTTCGTTGATATTTCTTCGGGGGAAGAAGGTAGCATGTCGATGTAACCAAAAGGACCGGTGTCTTCGAAACAACCCAAATCACCGTAACAAACAATCGAATCCGCTCTTTTTTTCCTATAATAAAAAAATATAAACAAGCAAACATTATAATAATAATAATAATAATAACTTCCTTATTTTGAAAACCGATTAGTTTATTATTATTATTATTATTATTTAAACAAATCACGAGTTAAAATTGAAATGATTAACTCGTCGTTAAACATTACCAACCTGTGACCACCGTTCAACTTTCTCAACCAATATTCTTCCATTGATGTGTAAACAGCTTTCAATATGGCCACATCGTTTTTTTCGTCCTGTGCTTCTTGTTCTGGTGTTGGCCATTGAAAACCTCGGCAAGGATTTATCCATACTAGAAAATGAATTATCGTTGACAGTTATTTGAGTTTAGTTTTATGATAATTAAACTAATTAAAAACTAATTTATAAAATTTATTTAAATTAATTAAATTAACGAGTGAAAATAATTGATCTGCCATAATTTCATTCATTATGCAAGAGAGAGTGGAAGGGAAAGGAAAGGAAAACAACACCCAAACAAAGAAAGTGAATTTAAAAAAAAATTATTTTACTATTGATAAATTAAATTGAAAACGAAACCTTTAACTAAATAACAACAACAACCACCACATAAATTTGATGCGAAAAAAATATATATACATCCTTATACATGTTGTTGTAAAGTTGTCTTGCCAGAGGTTTTTTTTTTTTTTTTAAAATTTACAATAATAATAATAATTTTTTTTATAAATATTGAGTAATTTTAACAAAAAAAAAAAAAAAAAAAAATGGCCGATTAGAAAAGTTCATAAAGGGAAAATTTTAAAGTTCATTTTTTGTTGTTGTTGTAACGTAATCAACCTGAATAATACTTAAATAATTTATAAATGCTAACAAATTTGTTTTTTTTTTTTTTTTAGGGAAAAAATAATAATAATAATAATAATAATGGAAAATTTTTTTATTTATCGTTCAAGTTTTTTTTGCACAATGATTAAAAGTAATAAAATTTTATGCAATTTTGATTTGACAGTTACACGATTGCTACGCAAAAAAAATAAATAAATAAATAAATAATATTTTTGCACCTTTTTTTAAAATAAATAAATATCACGAGAAAAGTGTTTTTGTGCGGTTTTCTTTGTCAATCAATCAATCAATCAATCAATCAATCAATCAATCAATCACGTGAAGATTCGCGAAACATTTATTCACAAAAAAAAAAAAAAAAAAAATTTAATTAGTTTAATATGTTATTAAAAGTTTCACAATCGAAAACATTAACTAAATAAATAAATAAATAAATAAAAAATTAATAAAAGATTAAAAAAAAAAAAAAGAGAGAGAGAGAGAGAGAGAGAAAATTACGCGAGAGTGTTGAATTCAGGTTAGAAAGCTGTTTTCATTTTATTCAATGTCTTGTGTCCCCAATCGAAAAAACTTGGCCTACAGTGAAAGTGAATTTTATTTTTTTTTTTTTTTTTTTAACCGACTCTTTTCTAAATATAAAAAACTATCCGTTTGTATTCGGTAGTAATAATAATAATAATAATAATTTAATGATTCCATATATTTAACCTATTCGATGACCCATAATTTCCGGGAAAAGAAAAGAAAAAAAAAAAAAAACAATGAGTAATAAATAATTATGAGGGAAAACAAAACAAAAAAAAAAAAAAATTAATAAAAATAGTTTTTGACCTTCATCGTTTATACTTTTTTGTGTTACCATCTCCTCTTAATAAAACGTTTAGGTTTTTAACCTGAATTTTTTATAATTGATGAAAAAATTAACCCAAATAATAATAATGATAATGTCCACGTACGAGTCCGAACGTACAAAAAAAAAAAAAACATTTCGTAAATGAAATTATTAACTTATTTATTAAACAAACACACACGACAAACATAAACAATAAAAATAAACACAACAACAATAAAAACCTATAACGGTTATTTTTTTAAATAAGAGAAACAACAACAACAACAACAACTTTTAATAACGGCCTTTTTTGTTTAAAAACTTCAATAAATAAATAAATTTCGAAATTAAATTAATTATTAAAATTGTAATTATAAACTATGTAATGTATGTAAGTCATGAGAAATTTAAATTTAATTTTTTATTAAATTCAGGTACAATTTTTAACCTGAATTTTTTTTTTTTTTTTTTTTTTGAATGCATAAACCACTGAGTTAATTTATTTTTAGTTTTTTTTTGTTTTTTTACTATTTTTAAAAAAAAATCAAAAAAAGTAGGAGGTTGAAATTTTTTTTTAGAAATCGTGTGTATCTTTTAAAAAAAAAAAAGAAAATATTTATTAACATAATAATAAAAAAAAAAAAAAAAAAAAATAAAGAAAGTTTTTTTAGTTAGTTAGTTAGTTAGTCTGATGTTAATTGTTTTTTTAGTAAGTACAAGTAGTCAATGTACAACAACAATGAGTACCTAATAACCATCTCACGATTAAGAATTTGATAAAAAATTTAGCCCTATAAAACAAAAAAACTTTTCCCCATAATAATTAGAAATGGCGACGACGACGACGACGAAATGTGTGCAAAATAAAAATAAAATTTTTTTTTAAATTCGAATTTCGTAATAAAAAGGATTAATTCGCCTTGACGAGAAACGCATAAGAAAGTTGTTTCATAAAAAAAAAAAAAAAAAAAAATTAAAATCCGTGTGTTGACACACCACGATATAAATAAAGAACCTCCTATCCTAAATTGCTACCTCCTTCCTATCCAGGCTATAAAACCTGATAAAAAAAAAAATCAAATTTCATATTCTGCTAACCTAATTAATGACAATTTTTTTAATTACGAATATTATTAAACGAAATCATTAATTAAAATCATAACGAGTTGTTGTTGTTGTTGTTGTTTATCATACGAGGGATTATTATTATTATTATTATTATTCGAAAAAAACCATAAATGCACAAGAATAACTTTCTTTTAAAAAAAAAAAAAAAAAAAAAAAAATTAGAACATGGTCGACGACGAGTTATAGCCTCAAGTTATTAATATTTTCTGTCTTTGTCATTAATAACAAAAAATCCTGTATATAAATAATAATACGAACTTCACTGTTTTTCAATTTGGGAGGGGGGGGGGGAAATAATTTATTAATACATAAATTAACGATCACAAGATTCAAATGATAATAATAATAATAATTCTCAATTAATTGTATCATTTTCTTTAAAAAAAAAAAAAAATTTTTTTAAATAAATATTTTCAAACAATTGTATAAATATTTGTCAAATATTTTAAACTAATTTATTTATTTATTTATTTATTTAACGTCATTGTTATTAATTAAATTAATTACTTTTTTTTTTTTAATTGTTGTTGTTGGTTGTTTTTTTTTGTACGTCGTTAATAATAATAATAATAATAATATTAAAAAATTGTAAAAAATATCGTTTTTAATAGAGACGAGACGTAAAAATTAGGACGAAAAAAAAAAAAAAAAATTACGAACGGCCATTATATAATTACAAATAAATAAATATTTTTGGCATAATAATTTGAAAATTCGTTGTTACCAACTTAAAAAAAAAAAAAAAAAAAAACTTTCATCGATCGTAATAACATTAAAAGTTTGCTAAATGCTAAATGCAGAATTCTATTTGAAAAAAACCCCAAAATTAATAATTTATTATTCAATAATCGAATAAGTCAAAAGTTAATTCCTCGTTTTAATGTGTGGCATTAGTCAAATAATAATAATAATAATAATAATAATAATAATAATAATAATAATAATAATAATAATAATAATAATAATAATAATAATAATAATAATAATAATAATGAAAAATTCATTTATAACGATAATAATATACTTTCATTCTCCGAGGGAAAAACGTAAAAAAAAATAAAAAATAAAAAAAAACTTGCAAATTAAAACCACGTGATCACAAGAAAAAATAAATAAATAAATAAATAAATGTTAATGTTTTGATGTTAAGAAATGTGACGTCACTTTTGACAGTTATTATTATTATTATTTATTTATTTATTTTTTAACGAGATTAAATTTTGTTTTAAAAACTATTTAAAAAAAATAAATAAAAAAATGATGAAAAATGACACACACGTACCTGTTATAAAACCGTAAAACAGAATAACATAATTCCTCGAAATTATCATAATGTAAAAGAGAAGAAAACATTTGGCAACACGATTTTCTCCAAAATGTGCCAAAAAAGAAAAAAAACTTGTCGATTGATGATGATGATGATGATTATTACAGTTTTCTTTCCTTCCTCTTTTATTTATCCGGATGGTAGGATTGAAAAACGCAAAACGTTCTCGAATTTATTATTATTATTATTATTATTATTATTATTTGCGTCTATTTTTATTATTTTTCATTTTAATCAAAATCTTCATTTTGTTCCAATATATAAGATTGTTAACGGTTGCGACAACAAACAAACAAACAAACAACTATAAAGAAAGAAAAAAAAATTTTTAGGTAAACAACATAAAATTAAATTTTTTCAGGGTTATATGTTGCTGCCTTAAGGATTAATTAATTAATTAATTATTTCTGTACAAAACAAAAAAAACCAACGAATTGGGGGGTTAGTAAGGAGGAGAGAAGGGGAGGGGTGAAGGGGAGGACGAAGGGGGGACAAATAAAAATAAATGATTAACAAACGTATATTTATTATCACATCGTCATTGTCATTATTATTATTTCGTTTCGTCATGAAAATTCACACATTTTTTTTTTCTTAGTTTTGTAAATTTTTGATTATATTTAAAAAAAATATTAACGAGTTTTTCCTATTTAAAAAAAAACCATAATAATAATAATAATAATAATAATAATAATAATTATCCTTGAACTGCGGTTTAAATATCACAATAATATTATTATTATTATCTATCTATCTTCGAATAAGGTTTTTTTTTAAGTTAACACCGAGTTACTTTTTTTTTTTTATCTGGAAAATGGTTTCCCAAATAACCATAATAAATTATATCAATAACGATGATGATAATGATGATAAAACTTGTGATAAATGGTATCATCATTAAGGAGAAATGAATAATTAAGGTTTGAAAAAGATGGTAATGAATCTAAATAAATAAGGTACGTATTCTAATCATGTAATATCGAATTTTTTTTTTTTTAAATATTTTAAAGGTTTTGGGTCATTGAAATTTTTATTACATCGTTTAAATATAAATAAAAAAATCTGATTAAAAAGAAACTGCGATGATGATGATGATGATGATGATGATGATGATTGTTATCATTTAGGGAAAACCCCTTTTCTTCCCCCTTTACACCTTTCACGGTTTAAAATCCTCGCTAATTAATATTATTATTATTTTTTGTTAAACGTTCGATGTAAACAAAAAACAAACAAACAAACGTAAACAACAATTTAAAATTTAAATTTTGAGTCGTCGTCGTCGTTAAACGATTACATAAATTTTTAATTACTTTCTAATTGTTATTATTTTGTTTTATGTTTTTTTTTTTTTTTATTATTATTATTGTATATCATCATTATAATTACTATTATTATTACGTTATAATTAATAAATAAATATTATTTGGTAAAGTACTGAATTATTATTATTATTATCAACAACAAACCATTAATTAAATTTTTACCTCATAAATAAAATTTTCATTACGTTTGTTGTGTAGGTACTCATTAGAATAAAAATAATTTACGATTAGTAAATAAAAATTTAATTTGAATGCTAATTAATTATTAATTATTAATTTTTTTTGGTTAAACTTTTAAACAAATTTTTTAGTTTTAGTCTTTTGGTTTAAAACTAAACTACTAATAACTAAACTATTTTAACTTTGTTGAAAATTTTTATTATTATTATTTTGTACTCTTTCATTTGTATAGTTAGACATACAATAATATTTTTAATAACGTTTGATAACCCTAAAGTATAATTTATTATAAAAAAAAGAAAGTTAAAAATCTTTCATAGAGAAAGAAAAAAAAAAAAATTTTGTTTAAAATTTAAGAGGAAAGAAAAAAAAATGACATTAAACAAAAAAACGTTTTCCTGTGTTATGTAAACGAATAGAAATCATTATTAAATTTTACTAAATAATAATTAATTGATTTTTTATTATAAAAATTATTAATATAAAATAAATTTTTTATATAAGCGTTAATGAACTCTCTGAAAAAAAACATTTACTTATAAATAATTCATTAAAAAAAAAAAAATTTTTTTTGTTAAGATTTTTTAAAAAAAAAAAAAATTAATTAAAGTAGTAAGTAGAGCGTTAAGTTTTGTTTTGAAATTTTTTTTTTAAACCTTTTGCTAACGTCAACATCAAATCCTTTTTTTTTTTTTTTTTGCTTTTGTTAATATTTTTAATTGTTTTATATTCTGTATATAAATGTGTGAACTAAAAAAAAAAAAAAATTGCTTTTTTTTTAATATGAAATTTGCAAACTAGAGCAAAACGTGTAAGTTTTTATTTATTAACCTTGTTTAATTTTTTTTTAGTTATGAATGATTTAAATAATTTAAAAAAAAACATTAAATTGACGTTTTTATAACGTAATAAATGTCAATAGAAACAATAATATGTGAATGACATACGTTTAAAAATCCAAAAGTAGTCCCTTGTGAATTATTTGCAATAATAATAATAATAATAGACAAAATGGCTGCAAATTTATTTACTAATAATTTCACCGAGTGATACAAGTTATTTTTTTTTACGTAAATTATTTAGCGTTTAAATGAATATGTTAATAGAAAAATGATTCAAATGAAAATAAATAAATAAATAAATTTTTATACCTAATAAATTAACGTTCGAAAAATTAATATTAAAAAAGAAATTCGTTACACAAACTTTTTTTTATTACGGCGCGAATAAAACTGACTCGAGTTGTCTGTCTTCTCCAAAATCCTCAGTTTTACCAAACGACTTTCTTTTATCGTAAAAAAAAAGGTAAAAAAAATATAAGAAACTCGATGCGTGATGCGTTATCATAATTGACAAAGATTTCAACTTAAATTAAATTATTCACGTGAAAAAGGTAAAAAAATTATAAAAAGATTACGATGTAAATGGTTGTCTTTAGTTTTTTACAGTCAACAAAAAATTTTTTTTTCCCGTTCACTTTAATTAAATTCGTGATCGTACGTATTAACAAATGAATTTTCAAGTCTGTAATCAAAGTTGTTTCTGTCTCGAAAAAAAAAAACGTTCACTTGCAATAGAAAAAATAAATACCTTGCCCTTATTCGCCCTAAATAAAAATTATTAAAAAAATATTTTCATGGTCTATAAAAAAAACCTAAAACATTTTTAATGTTCTAATTTTTTTTTTCGTTCTATAAAAAAAACTAAATTTTTAGTTTAATATTGCAGTAAAGTAACATTTTTAATTTTGATTCAAATTTGATTCTGTTTCTTTACATTAAATGAGAGTAAAAAGAAAGTTAATTAAATTACTTTATATTGATCATGTTTGAAAAACATATTAATGTTCTCTTCGTTTATAAAATAAAATTTTTAAAAGAAAACTTTAAAATCTTGTTGTTATTACACAATTATAATTTTTTTTTAAAAATGTAAAATTAGCTGTACTTACTGTTAATTGATAAATGATGAATTTCATTTTGAATCCCTTAAGCAAAATTACTAAATGTATTTCACTAAAATCTTCATTTTTACCCCATAAATCAATGATTTTGACATATAACCGATTTATTTTAAATCTATCAAGTCTTAATAATTTTATAATATTATCATAATCGAAACAAAATTTAATTATTCTAAATTGCGGGATAATTTACCCAAAAAATTTAACGGTTTTTTATAATTTTACTTAAATCTTTTTAAATTGTTTTAAAAACGTGAATATTTGATAAAAATTTAACACAAAAACTATTAAAATTTTATGAAAACAATTATAAGTAGGCTCACTAAACGTAATTTTATAATAACGTATAAAAAAAATAAAAAAAATTTTTAATTAAAAGAAAAAGTCATTTTTGTTCTATTATTTTAAACTTACTGCCAACTTAAAAAAAAAAAAAAAACCACTAAATTATTTTTAACTTTTGAAATTTGAAATTTTCTAATATAGATAAAAAGTCGTAGGTTGATCGATGAGATATTTCAGAATTTTTAATGAGTAATTCTTTGCGTGAAAAAATTTTTAATTGTTAAGAAAAATAATTCAAAAATGCATTGTTTTCTTAAATAATTAAATTTGAAATTTACCGGTAAATTAAAATACTTTGTCGTACGGGGTACGTTCAGAAAACTTACAACATAAATTTCAAAGCGTGTGTAAACCTAATTGGTCGACAGCGGCCAATCCCAAGTTTCTAATTATGTATAACTTACACCAATAACAGCCCTCCATCTGTCTGCCTCGTTGTCGTGAAGAAGAAACAAGTACATTGAACCGGCTACAAATTTTTAAACTTATTTCTCGGTGTTTTTAGTGTCACAAGTACTATGAATTATTTTTCTGTAATTTGTTTTTTGTTTCTATATAGCTTTGCCACAGCAAAGGTATATTTTGAAGAAACATTTTCAGACGGTGAGTTAATTTTTATTAAGATTTTTTAAAATGTTAAACAGTTACGTTAAATTACATGTAGTTTGATTATAAAATATTTTATATTTCTTTCCAATGTATTTAAAATTTTTCCTTGTATACTAACTTGTCTGTAGAGTCCTTTTCTCATAATTTTATTATATTTTAATATATATTTTTTATTTTATTGTATTCTTAGATTCTTGGGAAAAAAATTGGGTTTATTCCGAACACCCAGGAAAAGAGTTTGGAAAATTTGTATTAAGCGCTGGAGAGTATTATAAAGATGCAAGCAACAAAGGTAGGAATAAAATAAATCTGAAAAATAAAATAATGCAAAGTAATTTTAAGAAATTAATAATGACAAATTTCAATAAGTTGCGTCAATAATGAGTCATATTCTATAATTAATAAATACGTGTATGTTATATATATATATATTTTTTGTTTTGTTTAATGTTGCTGTCAAGAATTATTATTATTATTTTTATTTTACTTAAATAAAAATGTATTCTTAGAAACTTTTTTAAGGCCAGAACTTGTTTGCATAGACTACGGAAAAAATTTGATTAAAATTAAAATTTAAGTTTTAATTTGTGTAAAAATGTTTCAATTCTATTAAACATTTTTGCTGTGCCAGTTTTTTTAACTTTATTGTGTAAGAATTTGTAGAATATTGTGTTTTTCATGTTAGCCATTGCTTTTTACCCTTAATAAAACTTCAAAGGGAAGAAAAAATTAAACTGATTAACTAATTTTTACAATTATAGGTATCAAAACTTCTCAAGATGCTAGATTTTATGCTTTGTCGAGAAAGTTCACTCCATTTTCAAACAAAGATAAACCACTTGTAGTCCAGTTTTCAGTAAAACATGAACAAAACATTGATTGCGGTGGTGGTTACCTAAAAGTATTTGACTGCTCATTAGATCAAAAAGATATGCATGGAGAGTCTCCATATCTTATAATGTTTGGTATGTGCTACAGATTCTGGAATACAAATGCTTGAATGATGTTAAGTACATTTAAACTAAAAATTAAAATTAATGAAATATTTACAGGGCCAGATATATGTGGACCTGGAACTAAAAAAGTTCACGTCATATTCAACTACAAAGGAAAGAATCATTTAATTAATAAAGAAATCAGGAGTAAAGATGATGTATTGAGTCACTTGTACACACTCATTGTAAAACCGGACAATACTTATGAAGTACTCATTGACAATGAAAAAGTTGAATCTGGAGAATTAGAAAGTGATTGGAACTTTTTGCCACCCAAAAAAATCAAGGATCCAAATGCCAAAAAACCTGAAGACTGGGATGACAGAGCTACTATCGATGATCCAAATGACAGTAAACCGGATGTAAGAATTTTTTTTGTAATATTGATCTTAATGATGGAAGGAAGGAGAATTGAAACTATGAATTTTATACAATTTTTTTTTATTATAGGACTGGGACAAGCCTGAACACATCCCTGACCCAGATGCTGTTAAACCTGAAGATTGGGATGATGAAATGGATGGAGAATGGGAACCACCACAAATTGATAATCCCGATTACAAAGGAGAATGGAAACCAAAGCAAATTGACAATCCAGATTATAAGGTAATACAGGAAAATATTTTTATGGGCATGATTTAAAAAAAAAAAAAAAAAAAAAAGGACAAAGCCATTTTTTCAAATGCGTTTGCACTTTTGTGATTTAGGGAA